AACAGATTTCCTTTTCCCCATCAGAAGTAGAGTTGGAAAAAGGATACTATTTTAAAATAACAACTTCTACATATCGAGGGGTTACTATGTAGCAGGCCCTACACCAGACTCCTTGTATACAGTATCTTCTTCAAACTTCACAGGGGATGAATGCCGTTATTATCCCCATTTTACAGATGAAAGACTGAGGCTCAGAGAGGGAGAATCATTGGATGAAAGGGCTTACAATAATAAGGTCTTGAAAGGAAAAGCAATTTCCAATTGCTCTTCTCCTAGTCTCTCTTAAGCCCACTCCAAGAAAGTCTCCGTACCCACAACCAATTCCAGGATGACTTAGCACAACTCATCATACACTTGCCCCGTCAGCAGTATTTGTGCACTTAACCATCTCTTCCTTCTCCGTATACTTTCCTTGCTGGGCTTTTAGGGTACCACATGTTCCTGGATTTCCTCCTCCTTTAGTGGATGCTTCTTTTAGTCTCCTCTGCTGGTTCCTTCTTTTACTATCGGGATGCTCTTGGGCTCAGTCCTCGGGCCTCTTGTTTTCTCAGTACTCATGCCCTGGTGATCTCATTCAGTCTCTTGCCTACGAGAACCATCTGTAGGCTGGTATCTCCAACCTGGACCCTTTACCTGAATGCCAGGCTCCTACGTTGGACCAGTTACTCCACCCCTGCATGTGGATATCTCATAGACACCTCAAACTTACTATGTCCCAGTGGAACCTCTGATTTTCCCCCAGACCTGCTCTACCCAAAGTTATCCAGTCTGTGTGGGCAAAGGCTGGCAAATTCCATCCTCCTCAGGTGCAAAGATTCAAGACCTTGGAGTCAGCCTTCACTCTTCACTCTCCCTCACGTCCCCCAGGCAGTCTGGCAGGCAGTCCTGTTTTCTCTATTTTCACAATAAATCCAGAATCCGATTTCTCCTCACCTCTGCTGCTTCTACCCTGCCTTGAGCACCATCATTTCTCACGTAAATGGTTGCAAAAGCCACCTAACTGGCTGCCTGGTCTCCTTTCGCCCTAGCATAGTTTGTTCTCCCCTGAGCTGCCAGAATGATTCAGTTAGACCGCGAGTTAAATGACAATTGCGGTAGCCTTGAAATTTCCCAATGGCTCCCATTTTTATTGGGAGTAAAAGTTGAAATCCTTGCGGTGTTTGCAGGGACTGTGTCATCTGGCCACTGTCACCTCTGACGTCCCCTCTGCCTCCTCTGTGCCTGCCTTTCTCCCTCTCCTTTCCACTGGCTTCCCTGCTGGTCCTCGAGCAGCCCCAGCATGCTTCAGTTTTAAAGCCTTTACACGATGCTCTCTCTGACAGGAATAGTCTTCCCCCTTCAAAGCTGTTCGGTCTTCTCAATGAGGATCCTTTGACTACCCCAAATAACGTGGACTCTGCTCCCCGGATCCCTGCTTAGTGTTGCTTAGTTATTTACAGAATCTCCTTCTGATGTATATAATCTAAGTTTTTTTTTTTTTTATTAAGTTTTGCCTCTCTCTGGCAAGATTTTAATTCTCAATAGTTTCAAATACAGCTCTGTGACTAGAACAGACTTGACACATAGTAGATACCCAATAAATAATCGTTCAATGAATAACAGTGACAGGTTCTCAACACCTTAATTTGTGTTTCATGCTGATTCTCTGGGGATTATGTAATGAAACCAACTATCTCTGGTCGGCATGGATAGTGGCAAAACCGTGGAAAAAGAAAGTGATCGAACTTCAGTTTCCCTGCATATAATAAACTCCTAGTATTTTTAGTTGCTATTATAATTATTGTTATCATATTTCATAGGGGCTTTCAAAAGATATTACCTTAATTCAAAGAAATTTCGCTAATGAATTAATTTTGCATATCACAATCAGCTGATGAAGGAGATCTTTTTAGCAGAGGTATGAAAATACCCGTTTGTCTTTCTTTTTTTTTTTTTTTCAATATTTATTTTTGAGACAGAGAGAGACAGAGCATGAACGGGGGAGGGTCAGAGAGACAGAGGGAGACACAGAATCTGAAACAGGCTCCAGGCTCTGAGCGGTCAGCACAGAGCCCGACGCGGGGCTCGAACTCACGGACCGCGAGATCATGACCTGAGCCGAAGTCAGATGCTTAACCGACTGAGCCACCCAGGTGCCCCCCGCCCTGTTTGTCTTTTTAATCATCTAAGCTTAAGGTTTCTGCTGTACAGGTGGGAAAAGGGATGTGGTGTCAGTCAGATGTCTGATTTTCTACAAAGTTTAAAAATATATCTCTTCAAGGATATGTTTTGGATGATCTTTAATAGTGCAGCTACAGGAAATCGTATTATAGAGATTATTTACTTGGGTATTAGTGTTTCCAATAGTCCCACTACTGCTGTAGCTGTATTTTATCTTTATTAATGGCTACCTCGTATGTAGTGCTTGCTCTGTGCTGAGTAGTTTTCTTCCACTCTCTCCCTAGTCCTACCATAACCTAGGAATTAAGGATTAATTATTATTCTCATTTCTTTGCTCAGACCGACAGAGAAGTTAAGAAGGTTGCCTCATCACATAGCCAGTGATGGAGTTGAACTGAAACCCGCTGTTTATCCTTACAGCTTATGCTCTTAACACTATATCGTGTTGCAGGAACCAAGAAGAGGAACATTTATCTTCTAAATGATTAATAAATGCCAGTAGAATGACACTATGAGAGCATTTTACATATAGGGAAATAAGGGTTTACTTCCTAACAGTCTGGATATTAAAGACTGACGACTCTATGTCCTGAAATAAATTTTAAGAGGTAGAAATGGATCAAGTTTCAGTGAAAATGAATATTGAGGTACAAAGGAGTAAATGCTGGATGAATTAAAATACATGTTCCCTGCCAAAATGAATTGTAATTGCTAATTATGTTATATAGGTAACTGAGGTAAATCAAGGCACTCAAAGGCCTGACATAAAAAATATTTCTGTGAAACTTAAAAATACTTTGAGCACTGAGGTGGTTTGCAGAGTATTCAGTGGTAACCAATTCATCAATACTTAGAGGGAAGAAATGTTAGCACATGATTTCTGGATTAAAAATCTGTGTATATTATATATATAATTATATTATATATATTATATTATATATTATATTAATATTATATAGAATATATTATATAATATAATATATATATTATAATTATATATTAATTATATATTAATATATATAATTATATATAAAATTATATATATACTATATATGCATATTATATATATGCACATATATATTGGTTGGTTGTATATATATATATATACACAACAATATATATATATTGTGTACATATACACAATATATATATTGCTTGATATACATTGGTTGATATGTATTTTTTTAATTAAAAGATACCTAGAAATCTCTTGATGAACTTAGTAGGGTTTGAAATAAGAAGATGGTTTCTTTCTCCTTTCCCTTCCTGCTCGGAAACTAACAAAGCATTTGGTTATATAAGAAGCCCAAATCAGAGGAGTTAGGGTCTCTACTGAGCACCTGTAAGAAGAGATTGGAAAGTGTAATGTACCACCCGGCAGTCTGAGGACTGGGAGGCCGCAGCAACTGCAGATTTTTGTCTCTCTTGCTGAAGAGGTATCTTTGTGGTCTCTGGAGAAAGCTCAGGTAGCTGTTTGTGGCTTTCAGGATCGTGTCCTGAAATGGGAGTTATCTGAATGGAAAGAGATGCTGTGTATATCCCAGGCACTGGGTTAGGGGGTGGTGAGCAAGGCCTTTTGAGCCACGATGGTACCTCAACAGGTTGGGACAACCGTGGAGTATTAAAGTGGACACTACTTCCTAGATCCTGGTTATGGATTAGTTTCAGTGTAGAAATTCGTCGAGTTTGAGAGTCCTGCGTGTAATCCTCTTGTAGAAATGGGGTGCTGGTGTCAGCATTTGATGGGGGGCCAGTGCTGGCAGCTGCTGGTAGTGGGTTAGTGATTTTTTGGGTATATGACACAGTTGTGTTAGATTCTTCCGAATACACAATTGTCTGGTTTGAGTCATCATTGGAATACATAGTTCCTTCAAGAGGTTTTCTGCTAGTAAAGTACTTCGTACAGGAGGGAGTTTGTGTGTTAGTTACTAGTTGATCTAAAATGTCACCCTGTGTGTGGCTGGTTATCAAGGAACTACAAAAGCTCTCTTTTCTGGGCGGTGGAAAGGGTGCCTGGATTGCCAAAAGCATCCGGAGAGAGAAATAATGTTGAAGGAAAAACAGAGAGAAAGTCAAAGTTAGTCATTAAAGAAACCAGCGTCAACCTTACCCTTAAAGAAAGTAAAACAATGTCATATTTCCTTATTATTCTACACATTTTGTTGGCTAGATTAAACGATCATTTTTGTTCCATTTAGAGTGCCTTGTAATTTATTATCGATAGTTGCCCTCTGGGAGAAAACGGTTTTTATGGAGAATACATTATGAAGTTTGACTCCATCTATATTCTTGAAAATTATGTTAAAAATGAACATGTGTTCTCTTCGCAAATTTTTTAGACCTTGGGATATATGCATAATTTTAGACTTTGAGGTATAGGTACCCTATATTTATTCACACTGTTTCGGTAACACTTTTAAGATTTGGGGCACAATTTTACTAAGATCTCCAGCACAAGGTTCTTTCAGTTAATGTAATGAACAGTTGCACAGCTCCTATTTATTGAATAAACGTGTGGCCGACCGCATAACTTCGAAATCAAAGCATCGGCTGGCAGCTTTTTATGAATTTAAGGAAATATCATAAACATTATGTAGAAAGTGATCGTACTTTTATGAACTGAGTCAGAAAAAAAGCCCCACAAAGCCCGTTTTGAGCTTAAAAAAACTTGTCTTCTATGTCGTGAGTTCAAGTTTGGCAAGGAATACAGATCCAAAAGCAAAAACACATTAAAGATAAAAGATGCATCTAAATATGCACATGTTGCTGGAGAAGAGACTGTAAAGCATATTTTTAACCATGTTTAAAATAACACAGTAAACAAGGCCGTGCAAGATTACCTGAGTTGGTGACTTTTTTTCTTGTAAGTTTGGTCGAACGCTTCTAAAACCTTTTGCTGCAAGAGAGGAATATGTAGCATCGCCGTTCAGTGTCTCTTGATTTCGATCATTGTAAGAGCTCCAAGCTTTTATTAAGGGAAGACAAATTGGATACAAAAATATCTGCATTCACTTTTAACATTTTTTTTTGGTAAAATTTATTTTTATTTCCAAAATAGAATTTAATTTCTTTCTAGAAATTAAATTTAGTTTCATAGACCTAAGTGTATATGCAATTGAAGTTTACGGTGAGGTCAACAATGTGACTACAAATATGTTAAAAAAAAAAACTCACAACAAATGTAATGGTCATTCAGAATAGCTTTTCTGTACCTGAGTCTGGTGACTGAGAATCACGTCCTAAAAGAAAAAGAAATGCTGAAATTAATACCAGGGTAAAAGAAATGAACAGTCTAGTAAAGATCATTTGGGAAAGAACCACAACCACTTTCTTTTTTTTTTTGCAAACATGATCTCATTTCTAAAACTCGAAGTAAGTCCAATCTACTAAATGAGAGGTTTGTGCATTTATTTTTATTTCAATTAAAATATCATTCATTAAACATAATATGTAATTAACACATATAACAAACACTGATTTTTTCCCCTCAATAATGTTGCAACCATGTAATTTTATCTTATTATTGCCCAAGCTGGATATATGAATTTTTAAATACCAAATTAAAGGATCAAAAGGTATCTGGTTTGAAAACAATAACTGCTTCTCCAAGCATTAAATCAAGCCACGAGATACTTAGTTTTCACTGCCCTGGTGTTAGTAACCATACTCAAGTCCTATGTTAGATAGCAGTCAATTTTTTGTAGCCTGCATTTCATTTTTATATTTTAAGAAAGTGTAGGTGTTTCCACCATATTCTGCAATATTTTCAAATCGTTCTCTGGACTTTGAATTTTCTTCTTGTTGCCATTTTAAAAATCATTTTGTATTCAAATATGAAAGAGCTGTTACGGTATATTCCATTGTCTTGCAGAAAGCTATGGAAAACAAGTTCAGTATTAACATAGTTGGAAAATGGCTCAATGGCATATTTACTATGGGGTTTATTTGAATTATACATTCAAGAATACTCTGTAACCGAGGTACACTTGAGGTAATCAGTTTGTTCTTTTATACCACATGGCCAACTTCTCACAGAATCATAAAGCCTGAACTTTAGAAAGGACCTTAGGGGTCATCCAGCCTGATCTTCTGTCCAGTCCTGGATTCCTCCTCAAGGTTTCCCGAGACCATTATTAAATTGCTGTATTTCAATGCCTGATAGAACATGAATGTTACATGTGAAAAGGACTCTTCATTTTCTTTCTAACGCTTATGGGATACTTTGAAATCTAAACACATGAATTTGGAGTGATAAAAATGAATTGAGAAATGAGAGTTTGATTTTTAGATAAAATATTTGGTATAGACTCTTTCCAAATCAAAGGAACAAACATGTGACATAGCAGAGAGTACATTACCATGTCTCCAGCTCACGTGAGTTAGAGAAGACTGACAAATCTTCATCCTTTGTGATAGTTGCTAATTTAGTATGGAATTTATCTCCAATGAGTTCAAAATCATTTTGCCATAATAAAATGGCTACCGCAAAGAAAAGCAATAACTTTGAAGACTTACATGTGAAATGTTTACTACTAGATTCTGTTTCTAGGATTTAATGGAAGCAGAAGTGATTGAAATTCTCAATCACCTCATAAAGATGAGGACTTTATAAAGAAAACAAACATGGTGTAGCAACGAAGAGCAATCATTAGAAGTCTGCTCTGGGGCCCTCAGGGAGAGAGATGTAATAACCACCTGGGTGTCACATACTGTTTGTGGACAAGGAACAAGTTTTGGGACCTGGAATGGCAATGAAAAGGGAAGGAGCATTAATAATTATTATTTATATCATAATTATCTGTGTGAGCGTAGGGAGTTTATTTCACCTTAGTTTGATAAAACTGAGCTTATAATGAAGGGTGTGTGGGTATATGCCGGGGATGGAGGTGGAAGGAGTCAGATGCTTGGAAGTACAAGAGGTGTAGACACAGTGAAGGGGAGGAAGGTATATTTAGAGCAGATTTGAAGGATGCTTGAAATACACTTTATCTAATTGGTCGTTTGTAGAGGGGCAATTCTGTTTCTTCTTACTGGTGACCATGCTGGAGATTATGGAATCTACGGGGGAATAAACATTAAGTGCAAGACTCACAAGATAGTCACTCTAGGTTCAACCAGAGGCTTCCCTCTTCCCCTGTATTGGGCCCAGGGACTTCCAAATGAAACTGTACGTATGCTACAGGAAATACGAGATATTAATAATGGCGAGCTTTTCAAACTGTACTCAAATTGAGTTCTACTCAATTGAACTCAAATGAGTTCTACTGAATAGCCCTGCTTACCATGGTAGACACAAGCGTGTAGAATTATGAGCAAGGAGAAAGGAGAAAAATGGCCATGGATTAAAACTTCAGGATGAACCCATATGTTAATGAGTCTTATGTTAACGATTAAAGTCTACTCTTAAGTGGGTGGTCTCTTAAGGATATTCAAATGTACAACATTTGTTTCTTTAAAATAAATCCAGCTGTATAAAGCTAATACATCAAGTCCTGATTTGCTATTTTATTATACTTTTTCAGAGGCACTGAAAGATAAATACCATCCCACGTGAATACTGTTCACCATAGCCTTGCTTTTACTTAATTTCTGCCAAGAAAGCTTAGGAAAGGGAGGGCAAGTGTGATTTGGAGCAGGTAACAGAAAGTGTCTTGGAACCATGTCAAATAAAGAGAATATAGGGTTTTTTTTTTTTTAAAGGTCTAGCATGTAAATGATTTGGCAGATTCGTGGGGGAAATGGTTTTTGCCCAGTATCTCGAGCGTGATTCGTGATTGTTCATTTGTGAAAAAATAGAGCTTGAATTCCAGGGATCAGAAATTTTAGTTTCTAATGTTCTGTATAGTTGATGGTCATTGCTTCTCTGGAAATTAAAGAATGAGTAAATGGGACAGATTTATCATTCCCTGGCTCTTTTGCATGTGCATGTAAATAGGGTGTGTGAGAATGAAGAACTACAACGTCTCTTCTCTGGTACAACGAACACTCCCTGTGTCCAGGCAGAAGGTGGTGGACACCTGTCACAGAACTTGTTGAGGCATTCGTGGCTCAGTTCGGGGATTGGGCTGGATGTCCTCAAAGGTCCTTTCCAATTTGATGATTCCACCATTACGATGTTTATGTAGCTGTGTTTGTGGTACCTGTTATATCATAATCTCTCCCCTGAGGTTTTGTTTAAATTCCTTCCCACTGGTATGCTATATTAGACATTATAAACTATACTTTTGTGAAAATTATGATGACTTTAATTCTTATAGTTCCTTTCTTTAGAGGGTTCAAATGCTTTGCAAGAATTAATTAAACATATTAATTCAAGGCAACTAATTGAACGCCTACTGTGTCTCTAAGTGCTGTGATAAGCCTTTTTATTTATTTTCTTCATTTACTCTTATTTAATTTTGACAAATCCTTGTGAGTTTGGGAAATGATTATGTTCTCAGAGAGGTAGGAAGTGTCAAAAAATTCACTTTTTCTTGGTTTGTTTTTTGTTTTTTGGGTTTTTTTTTTTTTTTTCTAAGAAAGGAAACTTGAAGTCCAAACAGATGGAATTTCCCAAGGGTGTATATATAATACACAGGTGGTGTTGGTAAGACCCAGTTTCTTACCACAGTGGTCCAGTCCCAAAGCATAACACCATACTGGTGTTAGACTGCCACACATTTTGGTAAAATAAAATGTCCTTTGAGAGGCTTATGGTATCTCTATAGTCTATAGCCAACATACTTATTGTTGTGGCTCTAGCTTAGGTTGAAAATCTCTGTGTGCTATGAATTGCCCATTGGGACATTACTTCTCCTAAAAGATAAAGAGAAAGGCACCGATTTCAAGGACAAATAGTTGATCTCTAGCAGCTCATACTGACTCTGTGACTGAGCGGGGAGAGAGAGAGGAGCTTAGAATCTTTTGCAGAGGTAGTCTTTTACTTAAAGGTTGTTTTATTTTAATAATACCTAATGTAGTAAGTACTTACTAATCCTCTTTTGATTCACAAAAAAACACTATGTCGAATTAGTTCTTGTGAAGGCTACCATATCATGTAAGAGGCATAAAAAGAGGCTGATTTCTTTCTTCAAAGCGTAATTAAAAGTTCCTTGAGAAAGGAATCATGTCTTATGTGTCTAATAAATACAAAAGAGATCCAGTTTTAATGTAACAATGAAAAGCAAAGTTCAGGGGACTTCATTCTCTAGAAATCTTACTCCTACTGATACAAAATTTAATTTTTTTTAATGTTCATTTATTTTTGATGGGGAGAGAGAGACACAGAGCACGGGTGGGGGCGGGGCAGAGACAGAGAGGGAGAGACAGAATCCGAAGTAGGCTCCAGGCCCCGAGCTGACAGCACAGAGCCCACCACGGGGCTTGAACCTGGGAATGGTGAGATCATGACCTGAGCCACGGTGGGAGGCTTAACCGACTGAGCCACCCAGGGGCCCCCTAATGAAAATTTTAAATGGTTGCGGCACCTGGGTGGCTCAGGTGGTTGAGCATGCAGATTTGGCTCAGGTCATGATCTCATGGCTCGTGAGTTCGAGCCCTGCATCAGGCTTGCTGCTGTCAGTGCATAGCCTGCTTTGGCTCCTCTGTCCCCCTCTCCCTCTCTTGGCTCCTCCCCCACTTGCACTCCCTCTCTCAAAAATGAATATTTTTTTAAAAAGTTTAAATGGTCCAGAGCCATTGCATACTCTTATTACTGAAGATTACTTCATATTCCTAAAGTCCTAAATCTTGTCCATTATTTGGATTCTGAAGCATTAAATATTTTCTCCTAAATTGAGTGTTATGAAATTGATGGTGTTCTAGTTTTGAGTCTCCAAAATGGCAATCTCTGTTTCAATATGCTACTATTCCGTTAGTAAACTTTTGTAAATCATAACAATCTGGCATTGTTAAAGTAGTGCCACATTCCCTAGATGGTACCCTCAGATGGTCCGCGTCTGAGCAGCTTGGGCCAGAATTTTACTTGGTTGAAATGCCGGTGGCATTTGTGGTTAGGCATTCCAATCACCTGCTGGCCCTGGAATTCTATTTATTTACTTATTTACTTAACCAATCAATCAATCAATTTATTTATTTATTTTCCTATTGCCCTTTCTTCCCTTTTCTCTCGGGTATCCCACATAAACTACACTTGAGTTTTTCTAACATTTTTCCACGCTCATATACACAGGAATAAACATGTACAAATACATACACGAAGATCTCTCTTAACCAAAATGATGTCATACTACATACTTTGCAATGAGATTTGCGTTTAAAAAATGTAATATATTATGGAACCACCTGGACCGGTATTTAAACTTGTACATTGAAATACACTTGTGACCTGGAGGTGGTGGTGGCTAAGAGTGGGATTCTGCACATGAAAGCTTGTTTTTTCCCTCAACATAGCTGAGTACTTTAGGATCAAGTGGCTTTAACCAAGGACATTCTCACTATAATTAACCACTAAATGTATGTGTATTAAAGGCACTGATATGCAGAGTATGAATTAAAATTATCTAAACGCTCTCAATCTCTTTCCAACTTCTCCCGAACTTACAAATATTATAAATAAAAAAACAAGGAACCCCCACCAACCAACCCACAATCAAGCCAACTAACCAACCAGCCAACCCACAAACCAGTCACAATAAGGTCTAGGCATATTTCAGGGCCTACAGACACTGGGGGTGCTGGGTTCACTTTCACCTTCCGCAGCAACAGCCCCTCTCAGGGCACGTTGTGCCCACAGGCTTAGGTAAGTCAGATAGACATTTGTCATCCAGAGACCCACCTCATTGGATGCTGACATATCACATTCTCAATGGCTTTCTGCAGATATTTATATCTGAGGGTACCAATTAATCTTATTCGGATCAAGACGTTTAAAATATGTATTAGAAGGGTCTTTGGTGACTGGATTAAAGGACGTTTTAGGGTCTTTTTCAAAACTATTATTCTATCATATTGTTTGCAACCTTTGGTGAAGAAGTGAATTCATAACGATTCAGTTTCCTGAAAATCCCTCTTCCTGACCCCGTGTCCCCACCACCCGACAGTTCTCAGATAAAAAGAAAACAACTAAATCATATGGAAGTTATCTTAACTGAATATGATATTGCTTTAGTTCACGTGGAAAAAAAAAACTGAATTCGTTATTAACACTTGTAGCTGTTACGCAACACATTTTTGTCAGGTGACTGTTGTTTTTAATTAGATTTTTAACATGCTTTTTGCAAGAGATCAGTTTCGTTTGGCTTTTTATTTTTAGAATAAAAACAGTCATAAGGGATAGGAGCTATTCTTGAGACAAGAAAAATAAGAACTCGTAGGGCATTAGAAAGGTATTTACAGCCACTTTCATCATCCACACAGGATAATTCTGGAAGGAGAGAAAGGTCAGATAAAGCCAGTAGATTGTGACATTCTGTGAGTTAGTGATATTATACCTGCAGCCAATAGGTTTGGAGAACTTTGAACTCTCTTCACAGATGTTAATGTAACAGACATGGCAGCACGTTTGCGAGCACACCCACCGCTATCTGAAAGCAAAAAAATGATATAGCAGAGGCCACAGCAAAGGAGAAAGCACATGCACTATCATGCATTTTCAGGTGGAATGTGCCAGACATCCATGAGGAAGATGAACAGCCAGAATGAGTAACCATGGGATACATCTGAACATTTCACACCCACCCCAAACTAAGACAAAACAGAACCAAACAACCAGGAGTCTGTTTTAGCAATAGATGCCAATGCTTTAGTGAAAACACAGATTTTACACTTAGTATATTAATGGTTTTCTTTAATGAAAACACAAATAGGGAGCTCAACTTCGTTTGTACCATTTAAATTCAATTAATATTAAATTTATAAGCAGTGTGAGTAGCTTTTGGAGTTATGGGCAGCCTGTATTTCAGGACTGAGACGTATGATATAGTATGTTTTGTATCCATCATTTAGGTTTTACTGTATTTTAGCTATTTATGGTTCCTAAAAGTAGCTTGAATCACTTCTTGAAGTAAAAGTTATTAACTGATACAGGCATGGTCTATTTGATCTATAGGACTCATAAAGAAACATGTATCATTTTAGAAATTCTCTGTCTTCCTATTTGGAATCAAAGGCAATATTGATATATACAGGATTGAAATGACCAATGTTTATGAAATTAAATTGCTTTTATACCTTTGAACAATATATATGATGATCTATATACTTACACTGTATGGAAATCACAACATGAAATAAAATAAGTGAAAATGCATCAGCTATTTTAACATGCTATGAGAAGTTCAGAGTAGCAAGACTTCTAAAATCGGAAGGTTCATGTTCTAGTTAGGAACAGATTCCAATTTCATTCCCACATTCCTTTGTATATGGAATGTGCAATAAATAGTTTTGCTCCTTCTCCGGGAATGAAAACAACTGAAATTGAATTCTTTTTGGAGGTTATAACAAGAAAAACAAATCCTATAACCACCAATGTGATAACATCATCATTGTATATTGCCACAGGCTAATCTCCTTTTTTTTCCCTTTCCTTTATTTCTTAGAGAAAAGGATGCACTTTGTTTATGGGAAGTGAGAGAATTTAAGAGAGCTTGGAAGTGAAACTTGAATTAATTATTGGCAAAACCGCAAGCAGTAAGATCAGTAGAATTTACAAGTGGTGGAATGATTCTCATATCCAGCTAGAATTTCTTGAATATATGTTGAAAATCACGATTTCCTAATGCAGATAATAACTAGAGCAGAAAAATGACGCAACAGAAGTGAAGTCAAATAAGTCAAAGGCCAAACATAGAGAGACACAAATGGTAGAAACACACAGTGCTAAAGATACCTTTAAGGGGGGCACCAAGAGGATTTTTGCAAATGGCAAAAATAAATAAATACATAAATACATAAATACATAAAATCTACAAGAGAGGAGTGTTTCGGATTAAATGGAGGCAATGTCACTGAATGTGTGCTGTATAGCAGCTATGAGTGGTCTAAAAGGATCGTGTAGTCAAGCGTGTCGAAAGCGGACACTGACCTCCGGGAAGTTTTATCTTCTAGTTCTGTTAATTCTGAACATCTGAAAATTTCAAAATGAGGAGACTCGGGGTTACTCCTTCAGCGCATGGTTCCAAAACTGCGTGCTGAGGCGCCCCGGGCCCCATCAGGAGATTCACAAGGGCTTGGGAGGATATTTTGTGTTCTTGAGGAGAACACAGCGATCCCTATCAGACACTGCACGAAACTACTAGCCTGAGCGAGTCCCATTTGCAACGTAGTCAGTTGTGTGGTCTGCCTTTAGATGATATCACATCTTTGAAAAGCTGGGTTTTGGTGATCACTGCGGCAAAAAGCAAGGACCCTCTGAAAATAATTTGGGGCCAGGAAAAGAGAGTGGTGATGTACACTCTAATTCCATGGTCTGAGAAGTTTTGTGTGCGTCCAACAGGCACACACATCCCATTAATAAGTATATTAATGTGGTTATAAAGAATAAAAAAAATGATTATTTTTTTTTAAGTTAAAGCACATTATTTTTTCAAATTGCTTCTCAGTTGGTAGAACATGGGTACTTATTAAGTTGTCTGCACCTACTGCTTAATAAATAGAACCGTGAAGTATTTCTTTTGGCTTGAGAGGATGGCTAAAAATTCCCAAGCTATCTCGGCACTATAAAACCAGAAAGTGTAGGAACCTCTGGGTTAAACTGTGTCTGTATTCTAAGCTAAGACCTACATAAAATGACGTGAGAATCCGTTTTTTATTCACCGTCTAATAAAGAGCTCCCCTCGAAAAGCTGAGGCATCTGTGAAATTGCTAGAACAGAAAAATCTATTGTGTTCTGTATCTACTTACTCATGTGTTGATACTTTCTGCTCTTCCTTGAAGATAGGTGTGAGATCTCAAAGTGAGGATGCTGTCTTTAGTACTGTGGCGTTTTAAACAAAAGGGTCCAGTCACTTGTAACCCACTTTGTATACATAGGTTCGAATATCATATTTTGTATGCCTGTATGTGTGTAAATTCACCCAGGTAAGCAAAGTAACTTTGCAAATCAGCATTCTATGCAGAGCCACACTCACTCCTTTTAAATGAGAGCATGCTTTAGAGGGGGTTGCATTCATGTAACAGACTTGGAGTGATAACTTGGCTCAAGTACCCCAGAGACCTAAACAAACACACGAATTTCTCCCTGCCTACTTTACTATTTAAGGATTGAATTCCAACACTAGGAAGATTAATTACTGCATGCATTGTAATGAATATGGCATATTTAGTATGATCACATATTACACCTCCGTCATTAATAGGGTTATACTATAAAGGCAAATCAGCACTCCACAAAATGAAGGCTATTGGGAAGTTAGATTCAACTTTAATCCATGAGGAGATGCCTGCAAAGAATTAATGAATATAACCTCCTCAAGTGGGCAGTTTGCTGGAGTGACAACTCTCACACCATGCCTTCTCCTGTTCAGCTGTGTTTCTCTGTTCTATTTGCTTTCTTCAATCCTTTTGCCTTGTAATATTTCTCCTTTCATTTCCCTCTAACTCTCCCACATCTGTCCCACATCTCCAACTGTCCAAATGCCTTTACTTGGTTCTTCTCTAGGGTTATCATCTCCCTTGATTTCTCAGCTTTCCTTATATGTTTTGACTGTCTCCAATATCCTCATCTTGCCTGTTACTCTCCACATTTATAACTGCATTTTTGGGGGCCGGCTGACCCACACTTTTCTGAGGTCAGCTAGAGCAGGTTTCTGCTAAGGGGCAACCACAGGATCACGGACAGAAAGACAAGTGTCCATATCTCTACACTTGATCTAGGGATCGGATATTGGTTCTCACCAATGGTTGTTAATCGTCCCTCAGAGCATTTTGCTAACACTGAGAGATGGCAACCAGGCAAGCCGCTTGATGTGAGAAAATATCTCGGGCCACCCTTTTCCCTTTGCCACGGAGTAACTGGCTAGCTTTCCAGGGGCCACTTGTGGAAGGAAATGGCATTATCTGTGAACACAGGTTCCAGAATTGCAGTGAGAAAGTTGTTTTTCAGAATCAGTTGATAGCCCATATAAAAGTGTCAAGGGGGCAAAGATGAAAATAGAACTCAAAATATTTCTACTGTGGAAAGAAAATTCATATGTACCTAGCATGTGTCGTAAACACCGTCACAATTAACGTGTATCATTACATAATACAGAGTTCAGAGACCTCGGTGTTGTTAAAGCTATTTGGAGATACTGTTCTCATTCTAAAAATATAGTACTTATGACTTTATGTGTATTATGTCTAGAATAATTAAGCTGATCTCACATGAAGCTTTGGCACTCTGTCTGCTAACATCGTTAACGTGAAGTGTTTACAAAAGGGGGACTTTGAATATTTTCTACTGCAGCAAGTTGCCTATGAATTTAGCCTATTTTAAGTGAGAAATTACAAATGTATGCATCAAATGATACACTACTTTTTCCTAGGGCTTAGGAACTCCTGTTCATTTCAAGATATGATCATAGAAAAAGGGAGTAAGAGTAGATAACAAAACAGAAAAGTCTACTTTTGATAGCTATAAGATTGGAGCACAAAAACAGAGAAGTCAAGTAATGAATTTAGATGAATCAGATCAGCAGAGTACTAAACTTAATGATTTAGGGCCACGATGATTTTGAAAGGGTCGAAACTAACAGAAACAGCATACCTGTATTCATTTTGACCTTGGAGGGTTTGTTATTAAAATCTTCAGTTTTCCTGTAGAAAGAAAATGATGCATTAATTTGCTCACTAGTATGTGGAACAAAATACCATGAACAAGTGTTTTTGTTTTGCTTTTGGTGTACCTCTGAGTTAATAGCACATTACCGTTAGTCTTATTTTAAATCGGGGTGAATAAGGTAGGCAGAATGTATAATTCTATTCAAATTAAACTTCAGTTACTATTGGTCCTTGATCATAAACATAAACTTAGGTTTTTGCTTAATGGTGACCACTAATGGATGAAAATGGCGAGGAATTCAACTGTGTTAAAAATTAAATTTCTTTCACAAACATTTATGCTAAGAGTTTTTGTTTTCTAAGCCCCAAAGGGCCATTGGTTGTTAAGTGTCCTCTTCCAGAATTTTGAAAGGTAGTCTGGTACTTTGAAATCATGACCTTGCATTGTTCAATTTATTACATTATTTAATTTATTTTGTTTGAGATTATGATCTTACATTATTTAATTTATTACTGGGTCAGTTTCTTACCAGGGAATAGTTAATGAATTGAGCATATATTTTGAGGAAACAGTCAAGAAAGATGAGATGCACCTATTTTTTCTTCTTAAGACACGGGAAATATAAAACCTATTTCTGCTTCAGTACCTGATGCTGTGGTTCTTCCCAATTTAGTATTTGCTGTGTAACAATTGAGGTTAATTCACTAGAAATGGTTGGTGGAATGTTGCCGGCTGCAGAAAAAGTTTTGAGATATTGTGCATTATTTTATGTCATGTGAGATGACCTAGTTCTTTCCCTGGCATATTCTTTCAGCCCATTTTTAGAGTT